CAAAATAATAAAACCATGAGATCTGATCGGGTCAAGCTTAAACACCTTAAGCATTCCTCCCTCAATTAAGTCTAGGTCTAACTACCAAATATAAGTACATAGACTATGAGCCTATACAATCTCCTTAATCAAGATTGCTCTTTCACGAGCAATGAACAACAACAACATCATCAAGCATTTGTCCCACCACGTGGGGTCGGCTACATGAATCCTTTTTCATCATTGTCCTTTTAAAATTCAAATTATCATTTAAATCTAATAAAGAAAGATCATTTCTAATATTTTCTAATCAAGTCTTTTTAGGTCTACCTCTACCTTTCTTAACATAAGTAAAATTTAGTACCTCAACTTTCCTAATCAGGTCATCGGAAGGCCTCCGTTTAATGTGACCAAACCATCAAAGACGACTCTCTTTAATCCTATCTTCCACTGGAGCTACTACAACCTTTTCATGTATATACTCATTTCGTATCATATCTCTAAGGGTAAAGCCACTCATTCGACTAAGCATCCTTATCTCTGCAACACTTACTTAGTATTATGTTTCTCTTTTAATGGCCAACATTCGGCATTATAAAGCATTGCAGGTCTCACCACCATCTTATATAATTCTCCTTAAGTTTGAGGGGGGCTTTTCTATAGCACAACAAGCCCGATGCATTCCTCCACTTCAACCATCCAACTTGAATTATGTTGATAATATCCCAATCTATTTCACCATCACTCTAAACAATAGATCTAAGATATCTAAAACGTGTACTCTTATTAATGACTTGATTGCCCAAAGTCACAATCCCCTCACTAGATCTACTGCTATTAAAATTAAACTCCATATATTTAGTTTTAGATCTACTCAAGTGAAAACCTTTAAACTCTAAGGTTGACCTCCATAATTCAAGTTTACCTTCAACTCACTCTCACGTCTTATCAACAAGAAGAATATCATCAGCAAAAAACATACACCAAGGTACATCCTCTTGCAAATGTCTAGTGAGAACATCCATGACTAAAGCAAAAAAGATATGGACTTAAGGCTAATCCTTGATATAATCCAACCGAAATAGGAAAATACTTGGCCAAACCACCTTGTGTTTGAACACAAGTAATAGCTCTTGCATACATATCTTTAATGATTTGAATATAAGCGTTATTAACTCCTTTCTTTTCAAGAACTCTTCATAGCACTTCTCTTGGAACTTATTATATGCTTTCTCTAAATTAATAAATATCATAAGTAGATCATCCTTATTCTCTCTATATTTTTCCATCAAATCTCTCAATAAATATATGACTTCCATAGTAGACCTACCTAGCATGAATCCAAATTGATTTTGAGAAACATTAGTATCACACCGCAACCTACGCTCCATAACTTGTTCCCATAGTTTTAAAGTATGACACATTAACTTAATTCCTCTATAATTTGCATACTCCTGTGCATCACCTTATTCTTAAAAATAGGAATTAACACACTCATTCTCCACTGATCTGACATCTTTTTAGTCTTCAAAACAATATTAAAAAGTTTAGTAAGTCAAGAAATTCCTTCATCTCCTAAGCATTTCCACATCTCTATTGGAATATCATCAGGTCCAATAGCTTTCCACACTTCATTTTCTTTAAAGCCCCTCTAGCTTCGGTTTTACTAATACACCAATAAAAATAAAAATCTTTATTTTAATTTAGGGTGCTAAAGTCACCAAAGTCAATAGTATTTTCACATTTTTCATTAAAAAGTTTAGCAAAATACCTCATCCACCTTTATTAAATATCATCTTCTAAGAAAAGTATTTTTTGATCTTCATCCCTAATACATTTCACTTGAACTAAATCCTTACTACTCATATCCCTAAGTTTGGCTAACTTATACATATATCTTTCTCCATCTTTAGTATCTAATCTATTATATAAATCATTAAAAGCTAAGCTCTTTGCATCGCAAATAGTTTTCTTAGATTCCTTACGAACCTCTTTATAGATTTTCCAATTATCAGAATTTTTACATCTAAACCAATTTCTATAGCAAATCTTCTTATTTTTTATCTTTTCTTACATATTTGGATTTCACCACCAACTATTTTTACTATTATGAGCTTTTCCCTTTGAAACTCCAATCACATCTTTTGTAATATTCATAATAACACTAACCACTTTTTCTCACATAATATTAACATCCTCCTTCACAGACAAAATCTTAAGATCTAAAATCTTACTCTCAAAAATATTTTTGTTAATATTCTTTAAATGCCATCATTTAATCCTAAAAAATTATTTTACTTTATTTTTTATTTTCTGCTCCTTTATCTTTAAGTCTAAAACTAATAATCGATGTTGAGTATATAAATTTTCACTCGGAATAACTTTACAATCTTTGCAATCTAAACGATCTAATTTCTTATAAAAAAATAATCAATCTGCGTTTTACTATATCCATTTTTATAAGTGATACGATGCTCATATCTTTTCTTAAATAAAGTATTAGTTATTGAGAAATCATAAGCTAAAGAAAAATCTAATATGATCTTACCACCTTCATTTGTCGTTCTAAACCCATAGCCACCATGAATGCTTTTAAAATCATCTACCTCTCCACCAACATATTCATTTAAATCTCCTCCAATAAAAACCCTTTTTTCAAAAGATATCTTTTATATTAATTCTTCTAAGTCATTCCAAAATTTTAATTTTGAACTCATATGCAAACCTACTTAAGAAGCATAATCACTTATAATATTAACAATCTTAGCATCAATAACAATCTTTAAAGCTATCATCTTATCTCTAATTATGTTAATTTTTATAACATTATTATTCAAACTCTTATATATAATCATACATACACCAATTCTAATACGACTTCTCCCTGAATATCATAGTTTATATCCTAAACTATAAATCTCCTTAGCCTTCTCTCCAACCCATTTAGTTTCCTAAATGCACATAATATTTATCTTCCTATGAATCATAATATCTATTAATTCTATTAATTTTCATGTAAGGGAGTCTATATTCCAAGTTTCTATCCTAATTTTAGTTTCATGGTACTAGCTTCTTTGCCCACATCCGTCCGTGATGTGGGATCCTTTGCCTATTTAACACTGCACCCGGGCGCCGATGCAGTGGACCTTGCACACTTATCATTGTATTCAGGTTATACAGTGCGTCGCTTCTAGAGGGTGTCCTAGCATTAACACAATTTTGTAAAGGATTAATGTCATGATTATTCAACAAGTTTTACGCTAATTGTCGACTACCTATTGCAAGCCTCCATTTTTCTCATCAAGGACTTGGAACCTGGCAACGACAGTGTTGCTCGAACAATGACGAGAAGAATAATTAACTATTGGGACTTACACCCATGAAAATCTTGGCCATATATCCAAACAAATCCAAGTGCAACATCAAGTGGACTTTTGTTAAATTAAACATAATCAGGAAAATTACTTACGAGTTATCTCATTTACACCTCAACAAAACTCATGAGGGAAGGGGTTGGCTCTTCCTGAACAATAAACCATTCCAATCTAAGCAAAAAAAAAAAAAGCTAGCCGAGGTGAATTAACAACATATTTAACTTAGCAAAAAAGATATATAAGAAAACTAAAAACTAATTTGGAGGATTACAGTGAAATGTCAATAGGCCATAGAGACCTTCGTAGAGAGTTTTCAAAAAGGTAAAACTATGTAAAGCATGATCCAAACCCGAGTGGCATGCATGATATTTACCCTTTATATGTAAAACTAATCCTCATTGAGGTTGCAATTACTAAGTTTTCTTGAAACTAGCATATCATTTCATAAAAAATCTGCGTGTCAGACGTCTCACCTTAGACCAAACCTTAGAAACTTAATGACACGTTCAACAAATTAAGTCTAAACCAGGCCAACTCTTTCAAGTACCCCCTTGTCAATATCAAGCAAATTGATTGAGCTTAACATCAAAATTGGTTTTAGTTTCAGTTCTAGACATACAATAATGTTTTTAATTTTCCAGAGGTTTGGCCGTCTCAGTCTCCATTTACCTTTGATTTTGGTTATACTCTTTAAATATTTTTATCTAAAATTATATAGTTAAGAATTAATTATATTCTAATGGGTTGTACCAAAGGCCTAGATGTTCACAGCAATGTGAGGTCTGGGAAGAGAACTATCAAATAAATACAAGATATATAAATTAACTCTTCTTTATTGAGAAAATGATCAAAATAGTCCCTCAACTCTTTGAGAGGGACTGAAATAGTCCCCAACTCTTTTGAGGGACCAAATTGGTCCCCAAGCTTTTTAAAATGAGACATTGTTGGTCTTAACATCCAATGTTGGAGTTAATGATGTTAACATCTATATTTTATTAAATAGAACTAAAATTTTATTAATTAAAACTAAAATTATTATTTTTTTATTAAAGAAATGTTTAATAATTTTTTAATTATAATTACTTGAAAATTATATTAAATAAATATTTAATTAAAAAATGACCCAAATACTCTTAAATTTAACCTCATTAACTCCAATATTGAATGTTATGACAAAAAATATCCTGTTTTAAAGAGTTGAGGGACCAAATTGAACTCTCAAAAGAGTTGAAGACTATTTTGATCCCTGACAAAGAGTTGAAAAATCAGTTTGGTCCTTTTTTCATTCTTTATTTATTTGAATTTTTGTAATGATAACCGAATATGTTGTGAAGATATGATTAAATAAAATATCATGCAAAAATCACATGCTAAATCCCTCATTCTCTATACCTTACGTTGTATGGCCATGATATTCTTCAAAATAAATGAAGAAAATCCAAAGCCAACAAAAGCAAACTTAAATGTTCCAACAGAATGAAATATCCTAGCACCATTTTCTAGCCTAACTAAAAGTTTATCCCCTGACACAAAATAAGTCTACCCATTCTTCTCGTTCATTTGCTAAAGAAGAAACACAGAAAAATAATCAAAACATGCAGGTGAATGCGCCAACAAAATTGGAAGAATAAAAGATAAATTTATCACCTGACACGTAAAAGTCTGTCCCATTGATTCTCCTCCAGGAGAGTTTTTGTATTGTCCTCCTTTGCATCAGGTGATGGCTCACGATCGTCACTAGAAAGATTCGGTAACACTTCACTGCCACCTGTTTCTTCATTTATCGACTCCACATTCCAATCCAATGACTAGATAAATAACAACCGTTTATAAGCAGACGGTACAAAAAAGAACAGCGCAGTCAGTTAAAAAAACAAGCAAAGGTATATTATTATTAGCTATCATTAACATGCATTAATCTAAAGAAAAATTACTTATTATATTTTCTTAAGGGAAGTTTGGTTCAATGTTATTAAGAATTTAGTGTTATGAAGATGTCACTGCTATTAGATGTCAATGCTATCTAGTTAAGTGTTGTTGAATTTAAAAAGTTTGTATTTTCAGTATGTAAAAAAAGGAAATTTTAGATGTCAAAATCTCTAGAATCGGCCAATTTTGACTGACATCTAGACGTCACTTAATTTGGACATAAGTCATTCATAAATCTATTATTTAATGATGCCAGCAAACCACATAGATGACATCTATTAATAACATAAAATTACAATTAGATTTTAACAAAACAAACATTTCCTTTGTCTCTTATGCATATTTTGTATGTATATGTCTATGTATGCATGTTTAAAAGGATGAAACTAAGCCATCCATCTAGCATTGTGTGAAACTGAACACAAAATACATGCAGCAGCAACAACAACAACAACAATATCAAGCCTTTATCTCACTACATGGGGTTGGCTACATGAATCCTTTTTCGCCATTGTGTCCTGTTAAAAATCAAATTCTCATTTAAGAACACAAAATGCATGAATCACATTTAAAGTTATATAATTTAACAAGAAAATACACAAACAAATAAGGAATAGTAATCCTAATGTAAAACCCCTTAAGTTGAATGAAGTTAAACTCTTAGACATTGAGACACCATTTAATGTAAAGGTTGGAATTTCATTAGAAACTCCAAAGCATAACATGCTTATACAGGAGTTGATGTGAAACATATGCATGGAAACAAGAACTGCTTGGGGATTTTAATATAAGATTATTAAAACTTTGCTAGTTATAGAATTAATGCTTACCCAAGTTAGGCTTTCAGAATTATCAAATCAAAATTAAGTAAGGCATGCAGTTACAACTAGATTAACGGGACAATATCAAATTGACAACATAAGAATAGAGAGAGTAATGTTATGGAAAAAACAATAATCCACGACTAACAAATAGAACTTTTCACCTTGGGTCCCTCACTCACGCTCTTGACGGTGGGGTTTTAACGGAGGAAGATTGAGAGCAAACCGAGCAATGCCACTAAGAGAAAAATGGTGCCCAAAGTCTAGTCCGTTGGGGAAGTAGCCGGTGACGGGGAATCCATGGGATGACTAGTGAGCATCTAATGTCCGGAAAGATTGTGCTCCTCGATGGAAGGTACACCAAAGAAATAGAAGATATGAAGCTTTGGCGTTGGCTGAAATTACTGGACAGCAGCTGTTCAGCACTGGATCTCCTTAGGGCAGCAATTGGGGAAGATTCTGGACGGCTAGATAGCAGACTAGCTTGCTTTGGACGTCAGGGCAGCAAGCTATTTTGCTCCGGGAAGCTTCTAGACAGGAAACTGGGCTGTTTCTGAAATCTGGACAGCAAATCCTAAAGCATGGTCAGCAGCTTGGGTTCCCTGGATGGCTGAACGGCAACAGAACCTCGACTGGAGCCTTAGGATCACAAAAGAAAAAGCTGGGACAGCAATTTCCAAGATTTGGAAATGAGGACAGCCACGGTAAACGTCCAGAATTTTCTGGACAGCAAGGGAGCAGCCAAGGTGGTTGAGGATTTGGTGAGATGCTTAGAAATCTGAAATTAGATTTCAAGTTAAGTGGAATTGGAGGGAAAAATCTGAGGTTTTAATTTCAGATTTTATTAAAAGAGAAGGGGCCAATTTGAAATTCAAATTAATAATAAATAATGGGTTAATGGGGTGGCGGTTATGGGAGATATTTAAGGGAGAATTAATGTCGCTTAGGTGGCAAAGTGAGGAGAGAGAGGGGAAGAGAGGGGGCCGGCCCCAAGGGGTTTAATTTTGTATTTAAATTAAATGAGAGTGGGGCCCATGTGATTAAATACATCAATTGAATCAAATTCTGAATTAAATTCAGATTTGATGAGCTATGAAGAGTTTCCTAATTGGATGGAGGGATTTAAAATTCAAATTTCAAATTGAATTTCAAATATGAAACTTCCTAAATGACAACGCAACGAATTAGGAAAGTATTGAAAGCCTATTTGAATTTGAATATCAAATTCCAAGGATGAATTTTGGATGGCCGGCGGCTTCAGACATGGGGTCCGGCGGCCGGTGGGGGAGGAAGTGGGGCCGGACGGTAGGTGGAGGGAGCGAGATCTAGGGGTTAAAGAAGGGGGCGGGTTGGGTGGCTAGCCGGCTATGTGGGGGCTAGTTGGGGAGCCGGTGGGTATGGGAGAAGAACGAGGAAGCTCGGATGGGGAAAATGGAGAGAAGAAGAAATATATGGGATAGAAAACCAATAGCTCCACCAAGGGGCTGTTGGGTATTGCTTTGAGCGTCTCCTAGGCTTTCCTCACTTGAGAACTCACAAAGAGAACTCTAGAACTCACAAAAAGATCCAAAACCAAAATTTTCATTAGCAATAATCATCATCCTCTTACATAAGAAAATGACCATATATATAAGCCTCAAAATGACAAAGAAAACAAAAGACTAAAATGCCTCTTGGGCTACAATAGCGACCAACTACCCATAAGGGCAAAAGCGGAAAAAAAAAACTGTAAAATAAAATAAACTACTACAAAAATGACTTCAAATAAAACTCCTGGTCGTGGCCGTCGATCTCCGGCGTCTCCGATGGTACACGTGTCAAAATCGCTGACGATGTCCTCATCAGGAGTACTCCTAGAATAGGTGACTTCCTGGGAAATTATACAAAGGGGACAAAATTGTGAAGCTATTTGGTCAAAGCAAACAATATCTCAACAGTTGAGAGTTTGGGTTGTTGTAAATTATATTAAAGTAATACACCAGCTGAAAAATGAGAACAAAGTGATCCTATCTGTTAGGTGAATGATTATGGGCTAAGGATACGAATGAGGATATCAGTTAAAGCAAAATTGTTAAACATCGAAACACCTTTTAGTATAACGGTTGGAATTTCATTAGAAACTTCAATGTTAAGCCTACTTGTACAAGAGCACTCCTAGGATGGGTTCCATCATGGGCATAAAACCATAAGGCTATTAGGCCAAAACAAATAATATCTAGATGGTTGAGAGTTTGAGATGTTACACATAAAGCAAGAGGTGCATCATGTTCTACTACAACAAAATTGCCCTAAAATTAATGAACCTATATTCGTTATAAAACTTTAAAATTGATACACTCCATTAAGTGTACATGGTATTTATCGTTATTGAACATATTTTCAAAAGTTCAAACAAGGTTGCAATTTTTTCATATGTACCACGAATCCAAGCTATACAAATATCCAACAATTTTCGCAAGCTAATCCAAGAAACATTGAATTCCAATAAGCGGCCCTTTAGAAGCGATCATCTTCCTCCCACATATAGGAAATTTATCTCCAAGCATGACAGTTCGATTTGGCAAACCATAATATTCCAAAGTTAAAACAAAACCGACTTAAGCATTTTTCCAATCTTAACATCAAATTGTTTTTGGCAAAGGTGACGAGTACAAAAATTTAGTAGAAAGAGAATAGTGATATGGCAAGGATGGACAAGGGGAGAAAGGCAGTTAAGTGGGCCCAACAGGGAATTAATACATTATATTATGAGGAAATAATTAGAAAAAACTTTACTAATGCGATCCTTTCCTAATTGAATTATTTTTCAAATTAAGGAGGGAGATATTAAGAAGGGGGCTCAATTAGAAAATCCTTTTTTAATGAGGTCCTTTCCTAATTGAATTATTTTCAAATTGAGAGAGAGATATATATTAGGAAGGGGGCTGATTTAGGAGGGAGGTAAGAAGCCTATTTAAGTCTATAGTAAGGTTTATTTTATTCTTATGCAAAATTTCATCTTGAGTGTTGTAGTTTTCTTTTTGTGAGGGATCCTAGCAGCGTTTAAGGTTTGGAAGAGAATATCCTCCTCTCAAACGAAGATTAACTGTATATTGTTTCTTATTATTTGATATCCTAGCAATAAAATTATATTATTTTGCTAAAATTTACTGTTGTTCGATGATTTTTTTGGATTCAAGACGTATCAAATAGTATGTATCCTATTAATAGAATTTCTCTTTCTTTACTCCCAAAAAATAGTTTCATCAGTATATTATAATTTAGAAAGTATATGGCAACGGAGAAACTCATTGTGAGGTTCAAGAACAGAGTTTATACATAATACAAAATGAAATTGTGTAACGCTAGGGTTAAAACTCCTACGAGCATATCACGCCTTCTCATAGTTTGATAAAGGATTATACTATGGTGTTCCAGAAAGAAGGAAACCTAGGTCTGCCCAATTGAGAAAAATGGTCTTAAATTTGACAGCATTTCGCAGAATTAAAAGCATTGGAAAAGCTAAACAGATTTTATCTATTCATCAATGGAAAGTCACATATTTGATGTAGGATCACTCTGCGCAACCAACTCTACAAAAATCTAGAATGATGTAGAAAATATAACCAAGGCTTTAAAGCCCACAGTTCGACCAACACCAAACCAATAGTGTTCTGAATCCACACAGCTAATGACTGGTGTAGTTGGACCCAGTGTCAATTCTTGGTTTCCTATACTCCTATTGTCATAGTTATATTATTTATATTAGCTTATTGTTTATTTAGACAAACTGTACTTAGTAAATTGTTTGCTGATTAATTAGCTATTTATTTTTTGCTTGTAAAAACTTAAATAGAACAAATGTAAGAGGATGAGCAGCTTTTTAAATATTTTTACTAAAGAATCTCAGCCAAAAATATTCAGCTATCTACTTCTTCGTCCTTTGCATTTGTTTAGTTTATGCCATTTTGGTATCAAAGCCATGGTTGAGACTAGCAAACACTCAATCAACAATGACATCCACGACTAAGATGCAATGAATGAAGTAATTTCTGGCCTTACATGAAAGCTAGAGATCC